AAATTTAAATAAAACAAAATTGTGACAAAATTAAAATGTTTGCTACAAGTGAAAGATGAGCCATGGCGAACACTTTCCAGACAAGTTAGGTTTGAAGGGCAATAGATACAAGGTTAAAAACAAGATTTTTGGACCTGATGACAGGTGAAGTGTGCATTCATTAAAGATCAGAAGAATGAGGGGACCTGGGTTCAAGTCCCACCTGTTCCAGAAGTATGTTGTAACATCTCTGAACAAGTCGATTGGGAAAAGAAAAATGAGAAGTGATTTTAACATCTGTGTTAAGATTCTGAGGGGACTTGACATGTTGGATGTTGAAAGAACCCTTCCTCTCCTTAAGGGATGCAGACTAAAGAAGGTGATTGAGAGGGATTACCTTTCTGAGGGCCATTGAATGTTTAGAAATCTCTTCCCCAGAGAGGAGTAGAGGTTAGGTCAATATATTCTAGGCTGAGTTTGACAGTTTTTTTCGATTTATCAGAAAGTTGAACATTATGAGTCAGAGGCCGGCATATGGAGTTAACGCTACAATGAGATCAGTTTGAGCTTTTCTGGAACGGGCTCGATGGACCAAATACTTACTCCTATTTCTTATGATCTCAAGATTTTATTACTTGGAAGGTAAAGTGCTTTACTCTCTTGTTTCTTGCCCGATTCAGGAAGTTGCTTATTTAAAAGGTTGAAGGTTAATACTGGTTGCTGGGTCAGCACTAGCGTTCACCATTGTTGTTCGAGACATATTATGTTAGGCAATATCCACATTGGGATCCAGCTGGACAGAGGCATTCCTGTTCAATTATCTGTGTCTTGTCAGGCAGTGTATTTATTGAATTGGAATATGCTTACAACCACATCCTTCTTGAGCATTTGGTTCATAATCTTAAAGATAAAGCTAAATCTCTTAAGCATTGAATCAGGAAACAACATTTTGAGACAAAGATTTGTGGACATCTGGAAACCTCGTTCCCAAATATGGATACAGGGTTGTTTTAAATTTTCAAGGTTGTGATGGATAGGATTCAGAAGCAAGGGCATTAAAGATGTGGAGCAAAGAAGGATAAATGAAGATGAGCAAAAAATCACCCATGATCTGATTGAAGAGTGGAACTGGCTTATGAGACTCCCTAGCTTCCAGCTGTTTCAGTGTGGGAGCTGGATGTTCCTGGTAAGATCCCCATCCTAAATGGACAAAATGCCACTGGGGTGATACTGACTTGAATCATTGTGGCTGAGCCCTAATGGCCATGCAATTATACTTTGATTCAATGAAACAGAGAAGATGGCCATTATCCAAAAAGTAATGTTCCTGCTATAAATATTTGGCTTTAAACCCTAATCACACTGCTGGGGGTCCTTGATTTAAGAGCGTCCAATTTCTAAGCGGTTGTACTTATGAACGTGGTCCCGTGCAGGGATGTAATTTTAAAGACCTAAAAACATTTCCTGTACTTAAAAACAGCTCTTTTATATTGTCCTGCATTGTGGTTCCAAGGCACACTTGCTTTCAGTGGTCACTGCATTGAGTACAGGAGTTGGGATGTCATCTTGTGGCTGTACGAGACATTAGTTAGACTGCTTTTGGAATACTGTGTTCAATTCTGGCTTCCCTACTATAGGAAGGATGTTGTTAAACTTGAAAGACTTCAGCAAAGATTTACAAGGATGTTGCTGGGCTTGGAGGATTTGGGCTAAATGGAGAGGCTGAATAGGCTGAACTTTTTCCTTGGAGCGTCAGAGGCTGAGGGATGGCCTTATACAAGTTTATAAAATCGTGAGGGGCATGGATAGGATGAATAGTTGAGATCTATGTTTTTTCTTTGGGTAGGGGAGTCCAAATCTAGAGAGCGTAGGTTTAAGGTGAGAGAGGAAAGATTTAAAAGGGACCTAAAAGGTAACTTTTTCACACAGAAGGTGGTGCATGCATGGAACAAGTTGCAAGAGGAAGTGGTGGAGGCTGGATCAATTACAATTTAAAAGGCGTCTGGATGGGTACATGAATAGGAAGGCTTTAGAGGGATGTGGGCCAAGTTGGATTAAATTGGCTTAGGATATCTGGTCAGCGTGAATAAGTTGGACCGAATGGCCTGTTTCTGTGCTGTGTAACTCCATGACTTGCAAAGACACTCCAGAACGGAACCTGTTGCAACCTGGAACCACCTATATATCAAAATATTGATTTGACGGCATAGCCGATATCTGTGATGCAATCACTATGTAACTGGAAAAGGCCCATAAAACATTTCTAACAAAATATAAACTTGCAATAGCACTAATGTTAAATTCAATATTTCTTATTGTTCTTTCAGTCGAAACTTTGACAGAATCAAAACTGCCCACTCTAAAAAGCTGTGTAAAAACAGATATTTTATCAAGAACCTGACCTTGTGACTTGTTTATGGTTGTGGAATGTAAATATCTAATTGGGAAATGTTTTCTTCCGAGTTGAAAAGGCAGTTTTACATCTGTTGGGTTCAATATCGCTCAAGGACTTTTTGCTATCTAATTTTAATTTCAACATTTATCATCAATGAAAACTGCTTTCAAATGACCAGTTTTGTACTGAATTCTTGTTTAGATTTCATGTTCTGTAGTAACATTATAACTCTTCCTTCCTTGACTAAATGACTTGGATGAGGGGACTGAAGACAGAGTAGCAAAATTTGCACGTGGCATCATGATATGTAGCAAAGTACGTTGTGAAGAGAACATTGGGAAGATCCAGATGGACATAAGTTGGGCGCACAAAAAATCTGATAGATGGAGTATAATGTGGGAAAACACAAAGTTGTTCACTTTGGTCGGAAACATGTAAAATGTTTTAAATAAAGTATATTTCAAGTGTAGTCACTAGTTTGTATGTATTTGCAGCTAACTTGTAAATTAAATATGTTTCTCTTGGGTTCAGAGTTCAGTTATCAGAATTAGTAGAACAATACCAGGATGTAGGAGTAAAGAAGCTTCAATAAAAATACTGCATACAACCTTCTGTGCAAGTGATGCTTTTTAAAGGTGTGATTATCCTCATTGGTTTTGAGAGGGAGATGGTGGTTCCTTATTGAACACCATGATTTTTTTCATTAGATTATATCAGGGGCTTCTAAACGTCAACCAGGTAGATTTGGACTGGAATCAAGGGTAATGTGTAGGACAGACTAGGTATGACAGGAAGACCTCTCCCTTGAAGAACATTAAGTTTTCATAACAAACTAGTGGTTTTCTTTGATATTTTTAGTCTTTCTGGCAGGAGTCCACCACTTATTAGATTTTATAAATTTGATTTCATAATTCATAATGTGTCCTCTGGGTTCTGTGGTTCTGTACCGCAACCATTGGCTTGCATTGTACCCAACCAACGACACCTGTTTACTGTTTATAATATGAAGCATATAGAAATACAGCTCTGTATTGTAATGTTATAAACTTCTCTCTCACATAGCGTTACATATGGAATGAATTACGTATATCAAAGTGAAGACATCTGGTTCTCGATTTTGCACGTATGCTTTGGGGTGGTGTTTGTCAAAGGAGTAATGTTGTCTGGGCACTGTTCGAGCTCCCCCTCCTGTGGTTTGGACAAATTCACTTTTGGGATAAATACATTCCTGATAAGGTCAACATTTATTCCACTGAGAACGTGATGATATGGTATCATCCTAAACTGCTCAGTCCACGTAAAGCAGTTGTCTCCACAATGCTGTGCCTCTTTATGTAGCAAATTAGTACAATTTGTCTGCCTTTCTAGGTAGGGGCTGTGTAAAGTGGGGTGGTAAGCTGAAACTTTGGAGTTGCAAGCTCTGAGCTAGCCATAGCGCTCTGAGTTATAACAGCTGTGCTGTTGTTCAAACAGAACCCTGTGCTCAGAAGCCCTAAATCCCCAATACCACACCAGTTCTCTACTGAGTCCCACTTGGGAGGTCATGACAAATTTCATACCTCCAAAATGGGATCACAGTGGGAAAAAGTTTGGGAAGCAATGTTGTAGGCTGTTGCTGAGGGAGGAAAGAGTTAATCATGTTGCGTCACCTATGGGTTTCCATCCCTACTGGGCATTAGTGAACCAGTTGAATGTTTACAGCACTTAGTGTTTTGTGTTGATACCTGATATTCACAAACTGCCTGTGGTAAATTCTTTGAAGCAACCGCTATTTTGGAATATCCCAATGTGTTTACCTGAATCACCAACGACAGGCAGAACCCCAGGTGAATTCTCTGACAGATGATTAATAACTGAATTTTTACATGGTGCCTTTTGCAACCTTGCGATGTCCCAAAGTGCTTCTCCGCTCAATTAAGGACTTTGGAGGCGAGATCACTCTTGTACTGATGGCACATGCTGCGCTCCCTCACGACTGGACAGGGACAGGCATGTTGGCTTAAAACAGTGGGAACAGAGAAAAGTGGGAGTGGGGGAAGAAAAGGGGGAAAACCCATCTGTAACGGGCAACAGGGTTCATGTTCCAAGGATTGGTGCCTTTTGGACCTCTCGGAAAGATTTGGTGATGAGTCATAATCGGGGCCCGCGAGAGTGAGCACTCTGCGATGGCATTCCTCTGGTAACTACGGCAACAGACTGCCAGCTGGAACAGTCAACTTTTAAACGGTAGGGAGGGAACAGAAACTTCTGTAGAGTAGCCCTTCTCGTTTTAAATGGGTATATTTGTGAAGTTTTTTTTTAATTTTAAACGTTTATTTTAAAATTTTAAGGTGTGTATATACACAATGGGGTTGGGGTGAGAGTTTCAAGACAATCGAGTCAACACGATTTTCTTCCCTTTTTAATTTTTTTTAAAAGCCTCCCCTGTTTTTTGTTTTCTGAGCGTTAAGCTGCCTCTCTCACTTGCCTTCGCCCCAAATATTTTTTCCATCATCCCCTCAAGTTTAATCTAGGTGTGGGGGCTGTGAATGTAGAGTGGACTTAGTGAAGGGGACAAGGTTTGGCCATGAGCTGTCATCACATTACTTTCTAAACCTGCTTTGCCCCTTGCCCTCCACAGGTAGGATCACCAACTCTCCCTGATTGTCCTGAAGTTTCTGGGAATTGGAAGATTAAATTCCCAAGGTAATGTGCAAGCAAATGGAGAAAACAATATTTCTGGGCGATTCTCGATTGAATATTGAAGAGTTCTTTATTACTTTTGTATCCTCGTGCACTTCCTGTGTGAATCAATGAAAGGACGTACAGGGTGATGAACAGACCATGATGACACACCTTTCATGGCTGTGACTATCTAACTGCCACCATCCTTTAGTTTTGTTATAGTCATGTACAGCGGGAGTATTTTTAAGATTGCACACAATGAGGAGACCATCCCGGGCCACCAGCCCCACAAAACATCAATCCAGAATTTGGAGCTCCAGTCCCCTCGTCAGAACAGTCTGAAGTGCAGTCTAAGCCTGTGTTCTGACATATGGAAAATCACCAAAGATGAGCCCAAATCAGATTCTCTACTGACTCTACTTTGCTGTATTGGTAGGACACATCAAGTGTCTTGACTGTTGCAGAAGGAAAACTTAGTAAAACGAGTGAATTTTTAAAATTTTTTCATGGGATGTGGGCATCATTGAGCTGGCATTTATTACCCAGAGGGCAGTTAAGAGTCAACGGTCTGGGGTCGCAGGTAAGGATGGCAGTTTCCTTCCTTTTTAAAGGGCATTTGTGGACCAGATGGGTTTATCCGATAATTCACAATGTCATGATCATTATACTCTTGATTCCAGATTTTAGTTGAATTCAGTATCCACCATATACCTTGGCAGGGTCCCCAGGAAATTATGCAGGTCTGTGGACTTACAGTCTTGCGATAATAACACTAGGCCATTGCCTTCCCATTGAAACTGACTGATCTGACTCATCTTGTATACCTCAAAATAGAGGACTAGTAAACTTGTTTCTGAGTATGACAGTTTGTTTTTACAATTTCTATCCCCCAGGATCTTATTTTATCCCATCCTCTACTGAGGTTCCAACCTTTTTTTAGTTGATGGAGTAATGTTCTACAGACGCTAGATGTTTCAGCAAACTGGCCATCACCTTTGACAAAGCCTAGATGGGTATAGTCTGCTTCGATAGAATTGTGTTTATACAAAACCTTGCATGACCCTGATGTGCCAAAGTGCTTCGCAACTAATGAATCATTTTAAAATTACAGTTGTTTCTCAGCAAATATGGTAGACAATTTGCCAATGGTAATGTCACGCTAACAGCAATGTGATAAATGGCCAGATAAATCTATTTTTGATAAGGTTTAATTGAGGGATGGTTATGGCAAGAATACAAAGAGTGTGGTTGAATTTGCCACATAATTAGTCCAACGAGGCTGTGTCAGTATCTTTCCCACTTAAGCAGTAAGGTCTTGTCCTTCAAACACATTTCCTCTGCCTCCGCCGTATCTGCTCCCAGGATAAAGCGTTCCATTCCTGGACATCCCAGATGTCTTCCTACTTCAAGGACCGTAACTTCCCCTCCCCGGGATTCATATCGCCCTAAACTGTATCTCCAGCACTTCCCGCACTTCTGCCCTCAAATCCCCTCCCCTCAATAACAATAAAGATAGAGTCCCCCGGTCCTCGTATACCATGCCACCAAACTCAAAATCCAATGCATCAATCCAATTGCCACCTGCAATCTGACCCCACCACCAAAGAGAGATTTCCCTCCCCACGCCTATCTGCCTTTCATCGAGACCACTCACCCTGTGACTCCCTCGTCCGCTCCACACTCCCCACCAAGCACCACACCTGGCTCCTTTCCCTGTAACCGCAGGAGGTGCTACACTTGCCCCTAGACCTCCCCCTCACCTCTGCTCAATCATTCCAAATCCGACAGGGATTCACGTGTACGTCTTCTAACCTGGTCTGTTGCACTCACTGCTCCTGATGTGGTCTCCTCTACGTCGGATAGACCAAGCGTAGACACAGTGACTGATTCGCCAGCCATTTCAACTCCCACTCCCTTGGCGACATGTCCGTCCTGGGCCGCCTCTAATGTCACAATGAGGCCACACACAAACTGGAGGAACAACACCTCATGTTCTGCATTGGGAGCTTGCAGCCTAATGGCCTCAACATAGAATTCACTAGTTTCAAAATGAGACATCAGAGGAGTCAAGACTTGGTGTAGATCTACAGCTGGGTGCTGTCACTGCACATGTTAAAGTTGATCTATCTGCAAATATTTAAGCCTGGGCAAAAATTTGGGCCTGGGAATGACTCCTTTGGGGATACCAATTTTTGGGGATATAGAGAAGTAATTGTAAGAGACTCTCTGGCTATAACTGGATAGATTGTGCCAAATTGGGACTGTTCCATTGAGCTGAACAACATCAAACAGGTGTTGAAAAAATATTATACGGTTGACTATGTCAAAGGCTACTGGACAAAGATAGGAAGAAAGTACACAATAGCCCCTGTTAAAAAGGTTGTCATTTCTCGCATGCGTTAGGATCATTTCACTGCTTTGGCAGGGACGGAAACCTGATTGGAGATGATCAGTTTTCAGGCAGGTGGGCACAGATCTTGGAGGGGACAACCCGTGGAAGGTCGTTGGAGAGGTTAGGGATGGTGGTGGTAATTCGCAGAACCGAAACGGTTAAGGGTATCATGTAAAAAGGATGAGGAGCAATAATTGGGAGAGTGAATATTTTGGCATCAGCTAGCATTTAATCTTATTTCAAGAACTCACTGCTTTGAGACTTCCTGAAATCACAAAGGGTGCTGAAGAAATGCAAATTGTTTCTGTCTGTGTTTCTTTGAATAGTGCTGTAGGATCTTTAATGTCCAGTGAAGAGGCAAGTTGGACTACTGTTAATGACTTTATTTAATGTTTCATTGTTAACTTTTTCTACCACCTGACACTGATAGAAATAGCACGTTGTATGACAGTCTTCTGAGACTTGTAACTGTCCAGTCATTCCTTCATATTTGTGAGCATTCTGATCCAAAGATCCCCCCACAAATGATGAAATGCGAGAGTGTGGAGTCGTTAAAAATAGGTTTTAAAAACTGCAGATACTCAAGTTTTGCCCATGGATGTTGAATTTTGTTACTGTTTGTTTGCGCGGTTAGGCGAATTCGTGATTCATGATTTCATGGAGGTAGAGCATGTATTGTATATGCTTTCCTAATGGACTACCTGAGGGGCGTTGATCACAGTTCACACTCACATGAGCATCACACGGTACAGTGGAAAGAGCACTGCGGCTGTCATTCTTCGTTGCAAGTACAGCAACATAAATTGGATGTTTAGGTTTCAGGGGACAATCGGCATAGTTTAGCTCCTTTTGCAAACTGAGGTTTGAGTCATACAAGTATATGCTCCATGTAATCCCACATAACTCCATACTGATGTTCTGGCTAAGAGCCTGAACAGGAAGTTATTGGTGCCAAGGGACAAATTAACTTGCAATTAATGGTAAACAAAATAGTTTAATGTTTTAAAGACACAAAGCAATTGTTCCCTTAAGGGCAGGAGAATCTCTTGCATCATAATTAGCTTATTGTCCTGATTTGTTCACATATGTTAATATGAAATTACTCCCCCTCAGATCTAGCTGCTGTCAGGTTCTCCTGGGCCCGTTTCCGTAATCTCCCCAGCGTTCTAGCTTTCTTAGCATCACTTTCAAACTTGCCTTCTTCCTCATCTGAGGAGGCAGGTGGCTGGTCTGCACACCCAATTTCTGAGTTCTCACCCTATCATTGAACAAAGTCTTGCAGGGCACAGCAAGCTGTCATTATTCTGGAGACCCTATCTAGTGAGTACAGGAGTGTTCCTCCTGAATGGAACAGGCAATGAAAAGCACATCTTCAGAAGACCAGTTGTCTATTCACTGATGCCTCTAATGGATGCATGTGCTGCATTTTATTGCTATTTAACATTACTCCAAGGATCTTGCACTGAGATCATCAACCATGTTTGATACCCATTAGCTAGCCCTGGCGATGGGGGTCAAACATTTGCTGTACCTGTGGATTGTGCACAATGTAAACTTTGTGTTTGACTTGTAGAGAGCAGGCACATATCTGTTGAAATTGGTGCAAATGAGTTGGATGTTGAAGGAATGAAATCTGTTTCTGTTCAGGAATCTGGTTGGGTGATCCCAGGGAGCTCTGAGTACCATATGTGTACTTAATGGCCCCTTGTATCTGAGGGAAGCCGACACTGGCTGTGAATCCAACCCTGGTACCTTGACTCTTGGGGTTTACAAAAAATTGGACAAACTGTGTTAGTTGCCTGTCAAATGATCAGTGAACTCAGCCATGCATTTGGAGATGCCACACATCTCCAGAGTTGAGGCCTGAAAGAAGCTAGTGACAAGAAAGATCAGTGTCACTGTGATCTTTATGCCCACTGGCATAGTACTGCCTCCCCAAGCCATCTGGCTGCAGGATGTTGAGGATGTAGGTAATAACGTCACCAACACATTCCTGGTGCTGCCTTTTCACTTACCTACAGGTATCTGTCAGTGCACCTTCTGCCTTGGTAGCCAGGAGCCCCTTCTTCCCGTCTGCAAGGGCTGCTTGTTTATCCACAATTGAAGCCCTTGAGGCCTCATGCCTCTGGTTCAGTGGCATGGGGCATTTTTTAAAAAAAATTCATTGTGGCTGTTACTAGCTGAGCCAGCATTTATTGCCATTCCCAAGTTTCCATTGAGAAGGTGGTGGTGAGCTGTTGCCTTGAAGCGCTGTAGTCCATGTGCTGTAGGTAGACCCACAGTGCCACTCAGGTGGGAATTCTAGGATTTCTCTTCCTTCCTCTACCTCAGCACTGCTGGTTAATTTGATGAAACATCTGGTATGAAACATTTGGTAAGGCATCTAATATGTAAAGGAATATCAAACGGGAAATGTTTGGTTTGCGTTTGAGATCTTGACATGGTCAAGCTAACCTTTGGACCCTTATCAAGCTGCTCAGGTCTTGGGTGAAAGCCTGTCTTACAGTCCCCTCTCTGTGATAAGCTGCATCCTCCATGACTCATGACTGGTTTACCCCTTTAATGACGTGATCGTGAGTAGCGGTCTTGCTCATTTACATTGAGCCAATTACCACATGCATAGAAGGCA